AGTAGACACCATCATTTTACCCAGATGATCCCTGCATTACCTGCAAATAGCTACAAATCAAAGAAACACAGAGTTAGGCAAGGATAAATTGGCATGGTGATAGAAATGGTGTTATTCTTAGTCCTTCTTACTCATTAACGCTCACTCGTTCTTTAGCGTAACCTACAAGGGGATACCTCGGGATGAGCGCCCGGGAGAATAGGTGGCGGGGGAGGAAAGGGCAGAAAGGGGGCGTTAGAAAATGGTGGGAAGCGGGAGAAATTTGTTGAAATCACGTAACAATGGTTTTTAATATTTGGCAATCGAAGAATGGATAAAGGAAGGAAGGCAAGAAAAAAGGGGCGGAAGCCGGGAATGCAAGATAACCGTACGGAACGCGGCAGGAGACCCCCTGTTCCACCCCTATGACTCTTCGGTCGGCTATTTTGCTCCGAAGGAGAATTTCCAACGATACTTTAGGCAAGAAGAGAGACCACTGACTTAATTGTCTGCGATATTGGCCGTTTGTTGGCGTTCCTCATCCTCTTGGGCACATTGCGTCCGTTTTATTTGTCAAAAGAGGGTCAAAGCATTAAGAGTGTATTAGATTTACATATTTCTCCTACTAAAGCAGTGAACGGTTTGACTGCACCTACGCGACCCAACTGGGACGAGCATTCCAGTTTCTTTAAAAACGAACCAAGATTTTTTTCTGTCAATTCCACGATCACCTCGACAGGTTGTCGACTTGTGACCCGCTACTTCTACTGGAACGCAACATCTAGTCTTGCCTGTTCGCCAGCGAGTACCGTACGCGTCTCTGTGTTTAGGTCATACCGGCGTCATATGTATCTGACATTACTGCGCGATGAAAATCCCTGGTAAAGAAAACTTAATTAGTAAATTAATTCTGTAGAAATTAATAGTCAAAATGCATTTATTTTGCAATCGAAAATTGTAAATCAAAACGATCTTTACTAACCTGCCCGTGTAAGTAATAATTTCCTTTCGTTGTTGACGCTTTTAACATCCGTCAAAATGTTTTAACTCTTCCAGTGAGCTGTAACGTCCCTAGTACAGTCTTTCAATTCGACAAAGTCAGCCACGTTTGGATCGTTGAAATAGGGAGTCAACAATAATAGAGTCTTCTGCAATTCAAATTAACAGAAAAATTCGTATCTATACATCAATTTACAGCCCTCTTCAGCAATGTCTACGGATTTTTTATTGTATAATTTCATATCATTTTCATATCAAAGAATTTTTTGACCATCTTTAACTATCTTGTTTACTTCGTAGTTGTCAAGTATGATTTCTACAGCTGATTTGTATCATGCAAATTCCTGACCTTAGCCACAATGCGCCGCAAACTCTTTTATTTTGGCGGCACTTTTCTGAATTACCCAAATTTATTTCATATTATGTTTTGTATAAGGACCAAACTTTGTGCCAGCATGCAGTTTGACATGATTTCTCACATACCAAGACACGTTTTGAAGGCTTGAAGTCGCTCAATTTTTCGCTTTTTGCAACAAGTGTTTGAGAGTACTTTGTTAAAAAATCATGTGAATTTTAAAATTAAACCAAAGCTCCTAAAAGTGCCACAAATAAAAATCAAATGAATTACATTTTGAAGTAAAAACATCCCCGATTTCTTACGAAACATCCTCCTTTAGTACTAGCACACTAAATTTGGTCAATTTTACTGTATTTTTTGCATAATTAATAAGGTAAAAAACCAAATTTTCGTTTTTCCCCATTTTCTCGGACACATTTGATTTTTCAAACTTTGAGATATGTTTTTTTTAATATATCTCCCTAAAAGGGTTTTCCAGGCAAATTAGCCGAACTTTCGATTTTTTTAGCCTGGCCAGCGATTCTCGACATTTACAGTCGTGGGCTCTTAACTTCGTAAGGATATATATTTAGATATTTAAACCATTCCTTACGTTCTTTCTTTATTAACATCTTAAATCGCGGTTTGTTTGTAAACCTACAGCTGACATTTTGATATAAATCTAACTAAATAGAGCAAGAATCTTTACAAGTAAAAAAAAAATTTTAGAAATTAAAAGAACCTCATCAGTTATTAATAAAGTATACTTTTTACACTTATGATGTCCTGTATGAATATCAGAACATCAGATTGGACAAGCAACTGCACAAACTTTGCACAATAAGCTCAGCTTGACCCACCTGAATAAAGAGCAGGCATAAGTGGTGAAGAGATAAATCTCAGAAAGATACAGGTCTAAGTGCAGGTATGACTTTATTCATGTACCTCCATTGTGTTCTATATGTTTTTCTTGTTTAGTTTACTTTATAAGTATCAACTCTTAGTATGGGTATGATCAGTACACACTACACAAGAAATTATCAAATGGATAGATAGATAGATACTTTATTGAAATATCATATTACAGCCAAAGGGCTGAACTGCTTAAGTGCCGCTCCCGCTAAGAGCGGTCCTCTCGACTTCCAGTCGGAAAAAAGTTTTCTTTTATTTTTTGCCCATGAAAAGGGTTTAGGACACATGTTTCAAAAATAGTTTAGTTGTTCTCCAATTCTCTTTTTTTGCTTCGCCACAAGCCAAAAATCATTTTTGGCCAGACCTCCCCTGTGAACAGCGATCGAAAGTGTCAAATTCAAAGATTTTGTCCAGCGCGCAGCGGCTGTAACAATGTAGCTCACGGAATTCTATCTTGCTACAAGTTATAAGGTGTATACAGTTAGTTCACTGACAAAATATGGAAACTTCAGCTGAAATATTTTTCATACCAGCGTGATCAGAGGAGACCCTGCTCTTCGACCTTAATTTGCATATCAAAAATTCACTACTTTGTACGAAAGAATTCTCAAAATGCAGGCGTTAATCGGGCCGAAAAAGCATATCAGTGCATATTTTATACACCAATGAGGTCACGGATTACCTCAAACCAGCGGGTATATCTCTAGCTTCCATCCACCAACTTCTTAAAAAACAACGCAAATCCATGTGTTTGCTCAATTGCACTCGTGTCAAAGATCATTTGCATGATTCTTGGAATTGACCAAGATCTCCTTTTGACATTTCAAACTTCGTTCGTTTATCTTCTACGTTGAGGATTTTAGGTTTTCACAGCAACTGAATGGAGATTAGATGCAGAGTTGTCCTTAAACGTTGCGTAAACGTTATCGGTCGTAACGCTTGCGCGCTTGCGTGACTTACAAAGTAGACAAAGGTGATCGGAAGGCGCCTTCCCGATAATTTACGTTGAAATATCAGGTCATGAACTATGCAGTGTGGAGAAGATCAAAATTAAAGAATAAAATTTGGCACGCTGGTCATAACAGACATATCGCGTTGCTTAAAAGGACACAAAAACAAGTTAAAATAGGTTGCAGTGTTTATATTTACAAAACAACACGCATACATATGAGGTTCTTTTACCGACAAAATATCGAACATGGATACATTGATGTTTTGTTCAATTATATTATTGTTATGCGTTCTAATACAAGTCTTAAAATAAAATAAATCAAATTCATCCGGAATACATCGATTTTGGATGTCATATATCGATGTTGTGCAGCATACATTGCTTTCCTGACTCATTCACACGTGACCTTATATAACTAAAAGATGTTCCATAAAACTAAAAGATGAGGAAGCGGAAATAGAAATGACCGGAAGTTAGATTAAACAAGAAGCCCCGGAAACTAACACTTTCAAAATGGCGGGAAACAGAGGCAGACGATCAGTGAAGTTTGTGAAGCACTATGCAAGGTGTACGAATTTGGCTGCCCAACATCGAAGGATTTTTTACGTCTTTGGGTAGGCTACTGGAGAGTGCAGAAGGGCAAAGGAACACTGCGTCCTACGACTCGGCTGAATTTTTTAGTCGCCGTTTACGAAAAAACGAAAGAACTCTTGTCACTGACTCTAAGAATAGAAGAAGCCTTCCCAAATGAAGTTGAGGTGATCTCTGATCTAAACGAACTTGTTGCAACAGTTACAAACTCTGAAAAATGACGCCGGTTTTCGTTGGGCTGATATCGGAAGAATTCTTGGATGAGAGTATTGCTTATGGCAAAATTGGTTTTGGCAAGATATAGACATGAAAGGATGATCCTTCTTTATCTTACTTTCAGTTAACAGTTGTGTTATTCTTGGGCCCACAAACCATTTTTATTCATAATTTTTCATAGGACCTAAAAAAAAACACATAGAATCATAATCACTAAGAGACTGAATAGGGAAGGGCGTAACTTGAGGTAAAAAATCTTTGTACTTGGTACAATTATCCATGACTTTACATATGTTTATGGGAATGTTATGCTCCTTTATTGTTAGAAGTTTCTACTGCTCAAATTAATACAAAATCTCTGTTAATTTCCTAAGCAGTGGCCAAGGAATATATGCCAGTGTACCCTTCATATAAAACAATAACATTTTCAAATCCGTTTGGGTTATTCAGGAAATTTTCCACGTTCAAAGTTCCAGTTTCAAGTTACTCAACATAGTAACTGTTTTGTTAACAGCATGACAAACTCAACACTAACATAAAAGAGCTTACAAGAGCTAATTTACAAGGGTATAAACTTCTCTGCAATAGCCATCATGCATGCAATGTAGCCATAGCTTTACCTCGTTTGTTATTGTTTTGAGTGATTGCAAATCAAGGCTAGATCTCAGGTTTAAAGTGTTAATACTATGAAGCATCTAGTACATTATGCCACTACAACATCATGTATTTTTTTCCCAGCTATTCAAAGTTTTACACCCCTTTGTATTAGTAAGGCTGTTAGATTTGAGATTATAACTGATTATTGTTACTGTTTCCCATTTACATTGTCGTTAGTAATTTTATTCTTGGCATACTGACATGTATAACAGTAACCAATTTATACTAACTGTATTAAGAGTTCATTCCAAGTACATGAAGTTAATACAGTAAATCATGAATAGCAGTTTAAATAAAAAGAAGCAATCTGCAATACCACTTGGTAGGCTATGATTCCATCATGATCACCAGTTTGGAAGGCTGCATCTCCAGCTTCTTGCAGTGACAATTCTTGGTTATGTGTCAGAGTAGTACTTGTGTCAGGTACTGAAACTGCATAGTCGCTCTGCATGTCAAGTACAGGCCCTTCTTCATCAATCCCATAATGATTGAATAAATTAACAGCCTTGCTGGCAGTCACATCTGTCACAGCCTTATACCCAGAATTTCTGAAATGTAGCATTCCTTGTATCCAGAGCTGATTGGGAGAGAAATTGCATTATGTGCTTACAGGATGATTATTCCACTGACCAATAAATTGGTTAATTGCATTATTAATCAGTGGAATGTAGACTAGATGAATACAAAACAGATGCACCTCATCTGTTGCATCTAAAATCACTGTGCTCAAGAAAGAGGAAAATGTTCAAAAAGCGGCTCACAATAACCCAGTTGACATCACACCCGAGATGCTCTATTCTCTAGTTATGAACAGATTTTTTAGTGATGTGGCTGCCTCTATTTAAACCTCTTTCTTGCAGCATGAAGCGAGCAACTTCTATGTTTTCCATTCCAAGATCACTGCGAACTCTTGATGGTAAATTGTAGTGCTCAACAGCTGACTGGAAATACTGCAGTACAGTTACAGCTATTGGTTGATGCCTAAAGGAATACTATCATTCTTGAAAAACCATCTAAACCACCTTGAATGATAATTTTGTATGGCTGGATTAGTTTTTGGTTGCCATCAATGTGCCTTTTGGACACCATGAAGACAACAACAAGAGGCATTTTTGACCACCCATGAGTAACAGGCATGATAGTCAGGAATTTTGAGCATAATATCAGGGGAAGGTGGGGGCTGGGAAACTGGGTTAGGGTGATTAGTGAGGGGGCTAAATAGAACTGGGGGAGGTATCTCAAGTCACGAGTTGAATTGGCATTAATACTCATGCATCAAAGTTACAGCCTGACCTCCCTTGTATCACAGATTTAAACCAGTGTTGCCCCTGTGTGTAGGGAACTCCCATATAAAAAGGAAAGGGGTGCTTGTCGCAAATTTTGAAAAGAACCCTTAAAAGGTACCAAGATCCTGTTTTATGGGCATAGCTTAATATGCTTTTCACCCCTAAGAGGAAACAATTCTGAAACAACACAGTTAACTCTAGCTGTCATTTTTTTCTGTTCAAGACCCTACCTAAGAGGTAGCGCAAAAGCTCCCGCTGTGGACCTTTTGGAACTGACCACCATACCAACAAACCCTGCATTTTTAAACTCTAAAAAGTATGCCAAGCATCCCTGTCCTTTTTATA